TGAAGTTTTAGTTAATAGAAAATATACTTACGCATCGGATATTTATAGTATTGGTATACTTATGTGGGAAATTTCATGCGGTCAACCACCTTATGCTTATTGTGAGCATGATTATTATCTTGTATATAGAATAATATGTGGAATGAGACCAAAAATTATACCGCAAACTCCAAAAGTATATCAAAAATGTTGGGATGCTGATCCATTAAAAAGACCCGACATTTCTACTGTTTCCAAACAAATTAAAGAAATGTTACTTCAGTTTAAAAATGGACAACAATTAATTAATAGCACTAATAATACATATTTACAAGAAATAATACGGATCTGAGTCTTAGTTCATTTGCAAGTGCTTTAGTAAACTTCATGTGTTTGAAACTTTACCAGTACCAAGAAATGCTACTCAAGGTAAGTTATAATCATTATTATAAAATTTTTTTTGTTAACAGAAGAACAAGAAGGTGATTATTTTAAGAAAATTAATATCATAAAAAAAAAATCATTGAAACACAATTAATTAATATCCTCTTTCCTTTAAAGATTATCAAAGTATGCAAATTAGTATCCGATTTAGTAAGTAATAATTATTTGATACTTGAATTTTAAATTAATTTTATAGTAACAAGCAACGAAGTAAATAAACAATCTAAAAGAATTTATATCCGATAGTAATTGATTGATTAATTTATTTAATAATAATAATTTTTTTTGTTAATAACATTTCATTCCTAACTAAAATATTTAAGATAGTTGAAGATTTAATGATTAGATCTAAAAAATCAGAGACAAACAATAATAAAGGAAATTAATGATTTTAATTTTTAATTTATACAAGAATAACTATTTATGCCTTTAAGTATATAATTAGACATACAAGTCAATGAAAATAAGGCCGGATTCCAATAAAAGAACTGTAAGTTTCAGCAAACAATTTTTTGTAAAAAAAAAATTCTTTAGATATATGTAAATGGAAGGAAGGATCCATTGAAGTATTGCCTTTTTATTTAAAAGAATGTAAAGGAGATTTAAAGCTGCTAAAATGTCGAAGTTACAAAGGTAAAAAGGCACTATGGAAGAGTGCCGCCACTGCTTTATTAATCACTTATATCTCTGACAAATTTGTGATAAAATGGAAATATATTAAAGTTTCCAGTTTTCCAAAATTTTCCATAAAGTTTAAATAATAGATGACCCAAAATGTTAAACAGATTCATAATGTGATTACATTTTTTTAAATAAATATTTTTTATTTTATTTAGAAGCTATTTAAAGACGAAGTTGAACGATTCTTGATAGGAATATATTGAGGTTAGTATGCATCAAAATTATATATTAATTAGACCATATCAAAAGATTTTAATGTGATAAAAATTCTCGTTCAAAGCAAACGAAAGATAGAACTTGAATTGTTAAGATGAACTAAAAAAAATCTAGGAAGTTGGGAAGGGATACGCGGAACATTTTGATATTAGGTTAATATCTATGTAATTATCGTAATAGCTTTGTGAATTTTGGTTATATTTACAGTATGTTGATTAGTTTCAAATCATATTGCGCCTCAGATGATCTCGCACTGCGGCAAGTGTCATAAAAAGTAATACATTTTAAACATGTAATTCATGTATCTACTTTACTTTTCATTATATATATTATATAGTCTTCTTTTTATTACTTATGTTATATTATCTAATTTTCATTATATGTATCATTTATTATTATCAAAAAGCGTAGTATAATAATAGTGACCTATAAGTTCGATAGAGTTGTCTTAGAGTTTTTCTCAGATAGTTTTCTGAATAAGTCTTGGGACCAGAATTATACCTCTACAGATTAATAAAATTACTATTTACACTTCAACCTTCTTCTTGTCTTCATCATAAGATTGATCATGATAACTAACTACACAAGTGAATCGTATCAAGTGAATCGTGATTATAAATTGTTTTGTTTGTTAATCGTTAATTTCTCTTAGGAAAGGCCTTTGAGATAATCGAGTTATTAAGTTATTTAGTTTGTTAGCTTGGTTTTGAGACGATTTGAGGTCTATTATAGGCTCTTAATCGAATCGAGTAGGATCGATGATTGATTGAGTCAATCAATTTTTCGATCACAGATTATTGGATTCGATCGAGATTGGACTAACTTTAATTGATTATAATCAATTAAATTTCCAATGGTTAATCGATCAACAATTACTATGTATGATCGATTATATATAGTATCGTTATATTTTGTATAAATAAAATTCTTGATATTTTACGAACCTCAGTGCTTTTTGGATAAACATAGAAACACTCAAGCTTTACCTGACAATGATTCATTACAATGGTGGATTGATAATAAACAGAATTTTCCAACTTATTTAAAAATACTAGAAAATATTTGGTGTTCTAGCCACGTCTGAACTGCTTTTTAGTGATGATGTGAAACAAAATAGAACAGTTTAAAGCCAAAGGTTAATCAATTATTATATAAAATGAAATAGTAAATATTATAATCCTTTTGTATATTTATAGACTACAGGATTTTTAATTGTTAAATATGATTACGATATTTGTAATAAAAACTAGCTTATTGTAATTTTGATGCTTATATTAATAATAAATCAATCGAAATTCACTTTTATTGTTTGATCGAAGAATGCATTCGATTAAGAAGTCGATCACACGTGATCAATTAAGTAATTCGATTTTTTAATCGATCATGTGAGTGAAAGACCGATCAAATCATCATGACTTTTTTCATCAATTAAATGTCCTACCTCCAACATCCGCTAAAGAAATACGAAATTCTTTTGCATGTATTCCAATCTACCGAGAATTTCAACAATGTAAGAATTTCAGTACGTTCGATTTGGTTTATGGTAATAAAATAATTAATATTGTGATAAGCCTGATGCCAGGGACAATGATTACAACAATAATTGCTATTTTTCGTGAAATCTCACATGTCACAGTTGCGTTATTAGGTGGAATACATATGACACTTCCAAGAATTTGACTATATATGATAGAAATCTACGGCCTTTATCTTTTCCAAAGGAAGTTATAACTTGATTAAACTCATCAATCGATATATCCAAAAGCCATTTGTCTATAGATCGTATATTTAACCCTTTGCGTATTATGGAAATTGCTTCCCTGAAAGTAATGACCTTCTCTTTTTAGATCCACTAATACCGAAGGCAAAAGTCGTAACGGTAAGCTTAAAGATTTTTATACCCCTAATTACAAATCTAAATCAGAAGGTGTATTCCCATTATTGTAAGATACTTGATAAGGTCGACCAAATCTTTTAAAAATCCCGGAAACCTTTTTCTAATATGATTAACACATTCCATTAGTAATCGACTTTTTCCAATCCCTTGAGCACCCGTCACCAAACCAACTGGATGAAAATTAAAATCGAATTTTTTTTGGGCAGTTGCAATTATATTTGTATCAAATAACTCTTTTAATAAAAGCGTTGATGCATCATTTATACAGTATTCAAAGGCAATACCATAAGATTCAATGAGTTGTTTATTCAACTCGGATCCAGTTGAGGGCTTAGGGGTTCGACGATGCTCATATTGAGTCCATAACCATTCCCACCCCCATTCCCGAGGATCTAGACGCTCAAGATCTTCTCTCATTTTTAATTGATAATCTGTTTATTTAACGTGATCCGCAAATGATATTAACATAAACTTGATGATGGTTGTGGTAATACTGCCGCTGCTTGCTTAGGATGGTGATTATGGTGTTGGTGCTTCTGCCGCTGCTTGCTAGTGGTGGTAGATTTGGCGGAGATACTACTGCCGTTGTTTTTTAGTGGTGATGATTATGATGTGGTATTACTACCGCTGTTTGCTAGTGTGTTGTGATACTTCTGCCGCTGTTGCTTCTGCTATTTATAATTATAGTTACTACTGCCGCTGATAATTATGATGAAAGGAACGGTTGTTTGTTTTTAAAAAAAAAAAAGCTAAAAATTATTTTTAAATTTTTTTTTTTTTAAAAAAAGGATGAGGGTAAATATATGATTTTGAAGCGTCACGTCATATCAAATTTTTCTGCTACACCACGTGAAGTCATGATGACGCTCGATTCGATAAAATCATCCAATATAATTTTGTTCTTTTGAACATATTTAATATTTTCTTGAAAGGTATTTCTTAGATATTTGTGATTATCCAAGATTTCATTGTAGGCTCTGGTTAATTTCTTTGCTAATGCTTATTTCCCATTAGATGAAGATGAAGAAGAACATGATGGTGATCAGAAAAATCCTTTCCGCTTGTTCCAATTGTTGCAATATTATAAGCGACATGCTTGAAGATATTTCGCGTAAACGCGAAGCAATTTATAGTAATTCGTAAACCTATAAACTTTTTTTATTAATTGTGACATTGAAAATTTTTCTTTTAAAAAAATAATTATACATCATATTATATTGGTATTCCAGGTAAGAAAAAAAAAAAAAAAATCAAGTAATTTCTTGTCACAATTTCGCTTGAGACGATGCTGATGTCGATCAATTTACAAAGATTATAATTGAGAAAGTTTTATCAAAATTAAGAAATACAAAAATAATCAATTGTCTCACTAGGCGCTTTGTAATAGGTAGGATTAAAGAAGATATACTGTACTATCCAAAAACAAAGCAAAAACAAGCCTATTTATACAAATTCTATCTAGAGTTAACGGATCATGGTTTTGTGATTCGATCAATTAATTAAAAGCGGAATTCTATCTAGAGATAATGATACGATTCTTTCTTAAAAAAGATCAATTGATCAGGGCTTGTGACTCGGATCAATTAATTAAAAGCAGAAATTGACAGTTCTCAAGATTTGATGATTAGAACTTGACCGGAAAATTGATTGTGTTCAACGATTTCTCTAAGTCGGTATGTAGATGAATTGTGTAACCAAGTATCAAATTTAGATCTCTATTAAAAATATTGATGATAAAATTGATAATAGACCTATTAGTGAATACTTACGTAAATTTTATCATTATGATTTTTTTAAAAAAAAAATGAAAAGTGATGGTTACTGTATTAAAACTGTTATAATTTGTTTGGCTGAGAGGCGTTTGCATTTCATAATATTAATTGCTGAGTTGAATTTAGACAGGACTTGCTTCATGATGTATTGTTTGTTGTCAAATAGGGATATCCTGACTTCTAGATATCTTTGTGGTGTGATGTGCTGTGCTTATAATTTCTGAACGAAAAACCAGCGTATGCACTTTTAAATTCATTAAATCAGCCATTATATTTCATTTTTTTTATTAAGGCATATCTAATTCATTTCATCTTTTATGTATTAGCGAACACAATAGGCTAACTGCAAAATTCTTGAAGTTCCTCAATGTATTTGACCTTGAACAAATATTTTGTAATTATGAATTAACCATTTACGTAAGCATCATGAAATCGAAATTTATCTTTCTACAAGGCGTTGCTAACATTATATCATCAATTTTTAACAATTCTGCCTTTTTATAATATTTTCTAGAATTTATAGATACCGTTGATAATAATAATATAATCGATGTAAATCTTGAATTTTGTTCCTTCAAGCAATGCAGTTCGTTTATCAAATAATTAATGCTCATAGAGTATGCAAACTATTAATATTTTGTTATAATTTCTTACTTAAATTAATTAATTTTTAATTAAGATTCTTAATGCACTAGTTATACAAAATGCTGAAGAAGCTCAATAGATTTATAGTTATTATTCTAGATCTATTGAATACTTCATTGACGGAACGATTGTTATTTTATTGTAAAATTGTTATGTAAGATCTTCGTACACATCGATAGACTTTTTTTTCTCTTTACAACGAACATAATGGGTATTCAATTCAGAATTGTAGACCTAAATTATTTTATGAATATACGAAATATTACATCCTTTTCGCATATTTCATCATAGAATCTTATAAAGGATTGGAAAGCAAAAATTAAACTACATGGAAATTTCGCAATGAGGAATATTTTACAGACGTGAGAATTTAATTTTAATTCCTTTTATTTATTTATTTATTTTTATTAAAATCTACTATATGTAGATATTTTTCATTTTACAGAAAAATAATTTAATATTTTACTGCATTACGATGAAATCGAAAAATGCTTATACCGAATCATTTTGTATATCCAAATAAACTACAAAGTAAAGGAACCTTTAAACCTCATTTTGACATTCAAGAATATTCCAATTAAGAAACTTTAACAACATTAAAATTGGATAATTCACCTTAATCGCTTGAAACACTGTAAGCTTTATTTTATAATAGGCAATTTGGGAAGTGATTCTTTTTCTCATTTTCATTATCCAACTTGGAGCCGAGAAATATCATTCGGTGAATCAAGTTATAGTCAAAATCAGGCTGACGTTAATTAATTTATATTTATGTAGGAGAAACATCAATTCGTAAAAATAGATCAGACCTATTTGAGAATGTAAAAATTGTTAAAGGTTATGTTTGATTATATATATAGATCAGGAAAACTAATACATTTTTCGACTTTAATAATTTGATCAACTTGGTCAATTTTAACGTATTCAAAAAAATATATATATATGAAATTGTTCTTTATTCTTCGAACATAAAACATATGTTAAGCAAAAAATATTCCATTCTTCTGCTTTAATTGGTTACTATGACATTATAACAGAGCTCTGGTCAAAATGAAATATGACATGGAGAATAGTATTAAAAATAAAATTCAATTCAAGCTCTCCAATAAAATCTCCTTATTATTAACTGATCGGTTTACTGACCAGTTTTCCATATACTCTAATAATATTTATATAATTTAAACGGTTATACTTATTAGAAAGCTTTTTCTTTAGCCAAATGTTATGATTTAATTCTTGCTTTAACAATTCTAGCATGCCATTTTTTAAAACTTCTTTATATTTTTTCTTTTAAGTCAAGTCATTTTGCACGCGACGAAAATTAAAATAAGAAAAAAAATACGAAAAATAAATAAAGAATAAATAAATAAAACGAAATAAAAAAAAACGAAATAATAAGCCGAAATTAAAAAAATAACCATTTTTTTTATTTTTTTCTGGCAAAGCTAATATAAGAAACTTTATAATTTCGAAATTGATTTTTTTACTTCCCTCTAATATATCACACCCAACCCGCTATTAATTAAAAAATTAAGCTCCAATAGTTGATAGGACATATTCCATTCCAACAATTATCAGAAAGGCTAACAATTGATAGGAATTATTCCATTCAAACAATTATTAGATAGCGAATCGAATTTAAACCATCACTCATTTTTGATTCATAAGCCAAGTGTGCACCCATGACTTTATGAAACTAAACAATCAACATGTGCGCAATAATAAGCATAGACAGTATTTAATCGCAAAAAAAAAAAATAACAAAAAAAATAAAGTACCGATCATCGATTGAAATTGAATTAAATTTATAGAAAAATGAGAATTTATCGGATTATGGGATCGATCATTATAAATCACGTATTGTGCCTCTAGTCATGTGATTTGAATTTATTGGTGTATATTTAAAGTCATGTGATCTATTTTTCGCAGTTGATTTAAAGTAAAAAACTTGATACTATAGCCTACATTTTTGTTTTAATTATATTATATATTTTTTCAAAATTAGTTGAAATAATATCTGACCCTTTATATTACACAAGAGTTTATCGCGAACTTCACAAAAAGAAATACATCAAGTTTTATTTAGTTTTCAGCAATAGAAGCAACTGGAGGAATCGTTACTTTTATTTGCATAATACTTAAATCTATGCATAAAGTCTATCAAATAAAGGTAAGTTATTTTATTTTGAAAATTTCAATTTTGTTACATAATTTTTTTTAAAGGTGAATGAGATTTTTATAAGAACTAAAATACTACTCTACTAAACCTAAAATCAAAGATAATGACCTATTGGTATGTTTGCCACTTTGACTTTAATTTTCATATGAAATAATTTCTCACCTGATTTATTTTCTTGAGGAACTATGTGACCAATCAATGTATGATGCCGCAGGACTGTAATATAGACTGTTCAAAATACATGTAATTCTTATATTTAAATTTTATAAAATTTTAAAATTTATACTTTATTTATTTCTAGATATTAGTTTACAAAACTCGTTGCTATGTACTCCATTTAATTTTTCTATTCGTATGAACTTGTACATTAAATGTAATATCAACATTTAGTAAAATCTAATCCAGATTAAAGGAAGAACATTACGTTTATTCTTAGAATTTTAATGAATCAAATTTTTTGAAATAGATTTCTAAAATCAAAATTAATTCAGCTTGGTTTATTAATTCTAATGTTATCCAACTAGTTGGTCAGCTATTATTCAATGTGATTCGTAATTTCTTTTAAGGAGAAAGAAATAAAGTAAGACATACTGATATTATTTCTTCCTAACAAAAAACTTTAGAGATTTCAGAATAAGTTAACAAAGGATTTTATTTTGAAATAAAATTATGTATTAAAATGTATTAAAATGCAGTACTAATACATTGCCAAAGATACTGACATATCACTCAAGCTCAAAAGGAGTAAGAGCCAATTTCAGAACACTTAAGCTAGCTTGATACAACATAAAATAATATATTGTCATATTAATGTTATATAAAATTTTATCTTCGTAGAAAAAAGAAGTCTCATTTGATTATAAAATTAATATTTCTGATTTAATAATTTTTGCAAGATAATATTAAAGCAATAACAAAGCAAAGAAAAGTAAATATCAGGTGACATAAAAATCGTACATAGTATCCTTTCTGTATTAAAGATTTTATCACAGATATTCATAAGGATGTTGTGTCCTATATCAGATAAAAAATGTTATAGAGAGTTACTATATTCTGATCTTTCAAAAACCATTAATTACAAAATTTTAACAAAGTGAGTATTATAGATGAACAATTTAAAAAGTTGAAATAGAAAGATCAGATTTTGATTAAATCTATAAAATTTGGTAAAAAACCTCATTCAAAATTATAAGCAGAATATTAAATTCTTTAATTTTAAAAACTTCATCCATAAATTTATCTATAGAAATATATAATGTTAAATAAAGTATTTTGTTTAAATGATTATATTGATTTGAATTATCAAAATGATACAATTAATTATTATTTTTTAATATAGTTTTCTTAGAATATTTAAAGTATATTTTAATAGAAAATGATCTGGATATAAGGTCATTAAAAATAAAACAAACTAATATTTATTTTATTTACTTTAATTATTTAGGTCATCTTTATTAAATATAGATCATACTAATCAAAATTCTTCAAATATCCAAATTTCAAA